GCGGAGAGATAAGCTTTCCAGGCTACCCGGTTCACATCTGGTTTGCTGCCGAACCAGAACGGCAGCGGGTTTGGAGACGTACTTGTACGATTAAAAAACTCTTTTGAGTAGTCAAACTTCGGGAGGATCCCCTGGGCTCTTCTTTGGGTCGCTCTCCAGAAGAGCAGCCGTATTGTCCTGTGTTGCGGTAAACACAACCCTAGGAGTGCTGTGGCACTCGAAGGACGACTGTTTGAAGGCACAGTCCTCTGTGGACACCGAAGTGGGAACGAGAGCTTACGCAGCTTTTTTTTTTTCAAAAAAAATTATGTGCGTGGATCATTGTTGCTTTTGGTGGACAAGACAGAGCAGGGGGATCCTTTGGCCGGCTAGAGGCATTGGCCATACAGTTCCTGTTAACCTTGCCCTGCAGGGCTACGGGATTGTGGAAGTCGTAGTCAAAAAGACCCCAAGGTTTCGTTCCCTTCTTTCCTCATCCGTGGTCGGAAGTACCATGATCACCCATCAGCTTTGGGATATCTTGGAGGTAGAACTTGGAAAGTTGCATTTTAAAAAGAACTTGCCCTGTTACTCATTGTTTCTGTTAAGTCAGGTTGCTGTGACTATTATTTAAATTTATTTAAAATATCTTTACCCCACCTTTCTCCTGGAAAGGACCCAGGGGTGTTTGGGAGCCAGGTCTTGTAGGGTCAAAGCCCTGGGAATTTCTGAGTAGCAGGGACAAGGGATCACATGGGTTGCCACACCCGGCACACTGTTGTGTTCCCTCTGAGCCTTCCTGCAGTTCTTGCAATAGCTGGGACAGAAGTGAGTTTTTTCTAAGAAGAGCACATTGCTGTCCGATGTCCCATTTGGGATGCGAAGTATTTGAGAACAGATCCATTCAGAATGGCAACTTAGAGCCACTGATTTTACAAAACAAGAAAAACTGCTCCACCTTTGATTATATGGACCAGTCTGGATGCTGGTTGCTTCTATTTTGGACTCCACTTATGTGGGGTGAGGGCTGGCTGTGCCATGTTGTCATGATGAGTGTCTGCGCTTCCAGATTTCTCAATGCAAGTATGTAGTGCTTTCTGATATTTCACCTGGCAAATATTTTGTAAAAATGCAAAAGATAAACTCTAGTAATGCTTCCTTTTCCATGCAGGATTGATAGGCAAATTACATGAAACCCAAAGGCTTCTAATCAAAATGACATCAGTGCCATCGAGTACCCTGTTTACCTGAAAATTAAGACCTAACCTAAAAATAAGCCCAGGTATGATTTTTTTAAGATGCTCGTGATATAAGCCCTACCCCAAAAATAAGCCTTGGTTCAGTGAAACCTTGGTCTCCACCGTTTTTGCAGCAACCAGAAGAAGATGACACAACTGTATTTGCATAAATGCAGATTCTTGTACATGAAAAAAATAAAACATCCCCTGAAAATAAGCC